TTTTGATCAGAGTTTTTAAGGCTTTCAAAATTGCTTCTTTTTAAAATGTTGTTGTGATGGCATAGGTTGTTCTCCTGGTTCTGCTCGTTTCACTATTGGGCAAGGCTGATCCTTAATAAGAGTGCACGCAAATCCATATTTCAACTAATCTTCTCAACAATTTGAATATGGAGGAAGAGGGGGCAGATTTATCATCTCAGGCTAGATCATCATTGTTTTTACTTCTAATGTGGCTGCCAAAGAGATAGAAGAGGGAGCAGGAAGCTTTTCAGCTCTGCCATTCTCTTTTTTTTTTGCTCAGTCTTGTTATATCAGTAATACTGCCAAATCTGGGTTTCTTTGCAGTGTTCCTTCAAAGTCAATGTGTCCATTTTGAGAAAGTTAGTTTAATTCAGCAGGATATATACACCCCACTTTGAAGACCACTACACTATAACATGCCATTTCTCATGTTTCCCCATTCTAAAAAACAACAAACCCCTTTTCATTTTCATTTTCACCTAGCACATTGTCTCAAGTTATTGTTCTACATCTCCTTCTCCTGGCTCTAACTGCTATCTGTACTTTTTAAAAGTAATCTGCACTAAAATGTTTGATTTTGATTAGATTAAATTGAAAAGTTTTTGCACAAACAAAGCCAATGCAACCAAGATTAGAAGGGAAGCAAAAAGTTGGGAAATAATTTTTACAACCAGTATCTTTGATAAAGGCCTCATTTCTAAAATATATAGAGAAATACAAGTCATTCCCCAATTGATAAATGGTCAAAGGATATGAATAGGCAACTTTCAGAGGAAGAAATTAAAGCTATCTATAGTCATATGAAAAAATGCTCTAAATCACTATTGATTAGAGAAATGCAAATCAAAACAACTTTGAGATACCATATCACATTTACCAGATTGGCTAACATGACAAAACAAGACAATGATATATGTTGGAGAAGATGTGGGAAAATTGGAACACTAATGCATTGTTGGTGGAGTTGTGAACTGATCCAACCATTCTGGAGAACAATTTATAGCCAAAGGGCTATAAAATTGTGTACACCCTTTGACTCAGCAATACCACTTCTAGGGCTGTATCCCAAAGAGGTCATAAAAATGGGAAAAGAACCCATGTGTTCAAAAATACGTATAGCAGGTGACAAAGAATTGGAAATTGAGGAGATGCCCATCAGTTGGGGAATGGCTGAACAAGCTGTGGTATATGAATATAATGGAATACTATTGTGCTATAAGAAATGATGAGCAAGCAGACTTCAGAAAAACCTGGAAGGACTTATATGAACTGATGCTGAATGAAATGAGCAGAACCAAGAGAACATTGTACACAGTAACAGCCACATTGTGTGATGACTGACATCGATAGATTTGGCTCTTCTCAACAATGCAAGGATTTAAGATAATTCCAAAAGACTCACGGTGGAAAATACTACCCACATCCAGAGAAAGAACTGTGGAGTCTGAATGCAAATGGAAGCATACTATTTGCTCCCCTTTTACTTTGTTGTTTTGTTTCATTGCTTCATTCTCACGGCTCCTCCCCATTAGTTCTAATTGTTCTTTACATTATGACTAACGGGAAAATATGCTTAATATGAATGTATAAGTAGAGCCTGTATCAGATTGCACACCGTCTTGGGGAGGGGGGAGGAGAAGAGGGAGAATATTTAAAACTCAAAATCTTATGGAAGTGAATGTTGAAAACTAAAAATAAATTAATTATTTTTTAAAAAGAATTAAAAGATTTTAAAAAAAGTAATCTTTACTGGTTGCCTTCATTGCCTCCCCACTTATTCCTCAACCCCATACAATCTGACTGCTGATTCCATCACTTTACTGAAGTTACTTTATTAAAGACCACCAACCAATGGCCTCTTGAAAACCTGAATGACAGGAAGGAGGGTAGTGCCCTCGATAGGAAAAGAAGAATTTGGGGGAAGGATAGGTTTTGGGAAAAAATATGAGTTTGGTTGGATAATTGAGTTTAACACATCTATAAGATATCCAGATTGAGGGTTATAGCATAACCCAGATAAATTGTAAGGATCCTTATCTCAACTATCATGCCCACGAATGTAGTCAAGTTGTCAGAGCTTGGCTACATCCACCTGAAATATTCCTAGGGGTAACTCTGAAGGGTTAGTGGTAATTCTCTGAAGCCATTGGCTTGGGCCCCTATCAGTGTACTTCCCCCAAGATAATCATTCCATCAGCTAGCCTCAAGTAGCTTTTAGAAAGGGGTAAGGTGGTACAATAAAAAACTAGTACAAAGCATCCTCCCTAAAAGTCTGTGACATTCTCTCCTACTAGCACATAGAGGGTCCAGGGAAGTAGCCTCATGCTCAGAGAGCACATCTAGCAAAGGGCTAACTCACAGCTTCTGGATACTGGAATGCCTTTACTCCTGTTCATAGGGAAATTTGCCCCAAGGCATGATGTAGTCTTTTTGTTAGGTTCCTTGGAGAGCCTTGAGTCCAGTCTTGGCTCAAAGATGCAGCCATTGCTGGACTCTGCCTCCAGCTGATCCGGGGGCACCATTTAAGACAATGATGAGAAGATTGAAAGTCCAACATCACCTGATCCTTTGAAGGCAGAAAATCCTCCTCTGGTCATAGAAAGGGGGAGGGGCAGAGGAAGTGAGAGAAGACCTGATTGAGGCTAAAACCAAGACCTCTTCTTTTCCTTTAGGAGGTTCCTTCTCATACTCCATACACTCCATACACACTCCAGTTCCTGAAATTTCTCCATTCTAACTTTATGCTTTTATATAAGGCCCAGAGGGTACAATTAACACATTTTCTCACCCATTCTCACCACCACCAGTACCATTCCAGCCAACTGGAACAGATTTTTTATCTTATTATTTCATTTCATTAAAAGGTTTTCAAAAACTTTTCCTACTTAGTCAAAGGTCTTTGGGTTGATGTGGTAACTGAGATGCAGTTCTCACCCAGTTAAGGTATAAAATAGGGTGGAGGGTTTCAATCTCACCCATACAGTAGGAGTCATAGATTTAGAGTTAGAATAAGCAAAAGTGCTTTAAGTTTTGTAAAGCATTCTACAAATATTATCTCATTTGACCCTCTCACCAATCCAGAGAGGTAGGTGCTATCGTTCTCCTCACTTTACAAGTGAGGAAATTGAGGCAGACAGTGGTTAAGTGATTTGCCCAGGGTCATGCAGCTGCTAAGTGTCTATGTCTAGATTCAAACTCAGGTCTTCCTGACTCCAAGCCCGGTGCTCTACTCTGCCACTTAGCTCCTCAATTCATATCTGGTAAAAGCTCTGGGCTCACTCTCTCAACTCCCTCTCAGACTAACAGTGGATAAAGGTCCATCTTTTTTTATTTTTATTTTTTGGCAATAGGGTTTAAGTGACTTGCCCAGGGTCACACAGCTAGTAAGGGTCTGAAGGTTCATTCTTTAGTGTGATGAGCACTGTGCCAACCTGCCTGTTTCCAATCCCTTGATGAGTTAGCTTCTGGGTATGCATTCTCCACAAATATAGATGAAGACACTGAGACCTAGAGAGGATAAGCAACATGTCCAGAGCTATGCAAGTTTTAGAGGTAGAATTTGAACTCAGCTCCTCTGACTCCCCAAATCTAGTGTCCCTCCCTATGTCCTGCAGTCAGTTGGTAATTCCCATCGCCTGGTTCTAATTTACCTTTCTAGCCACATTTCCCATGAATCTACTCCAGGTAAACTGGACTCTTCCCTATTACCCAAACCTGAGAGGCACCCTCCTACTACCCTGTATTCAGGCAGTCTATTCACTAGGCCAGGAACTGCCTCCCTCCTCGTTTCCACCAGTCAGAATTCTCCTCCTCCTCACAGGCTCAGATTGAGCGCCACCCCCTCCTTGAAGTCTTTCCTGATCCCCCTGCAGCTGAAAGGGTTTTCCCTCCACCCCAACGCCTTGTATTTCCCAAAGCACTCTGCGGATCATTCCTCTGCCCCATCACAGTATGCCTCATGTCATGCTTCTCAGTGTGAATGGTAGATTATTCCTATGCCTTCTAGGAGGCTGTGAGCAACTTTAGAGCAAGGGGGATGAATTTTTGTGTGTGTTTGTAACCTTACCCTTGGCCTAATGTCTTACATTTAGGCACATAATAAGTGTTAATAATAATAATAATAAGGAAGGGAAGCCCAGGAAAGGCAAGGCCAAATAGGGAAGGGAAGGGACTTCAGAGAATTCATTAATTCATTCATCAGAGGGTTCATTAATCCAAATTTAGGTCAAGTAAACTAACAATAACTTCAGAAAAAGATAGGACATTTAGAGTGTTCTGAGGGGCTTCCTAATCTTTTATGAGTCCTAGCCCAAGATCAAGGACTTAGAGTAAGATGAAACTCAGAGGCCATTCCAGGGCCGTTCTTGCTCTGGAGCCTAGCCATATTTATGGGGTCTTCAGAAACTGTGGGTTCAGGATGCCCCCCCAACCTGCTCAGTGGGCTTTACCATCTACATGGACAAGTAGAGAGAGTTCTGGCCTGGGGGCCAGGAGACCTGGGGACTATCTGTATGACTTTAGGTAATTTATCCCCCCCCACCCCACTCAAGGCCTTTATTTCCTCATTTGTAAAAAGAAGGGGGTTTAGATTACGAGATGACCTCCAAAGACCCTTCCAGCCCAGACATTCTAGGGTCTATGTTCATAGAATTATAGAATTCAAGGCAGGAAGAACCCTTAGGTAGCCTTCCTTTTACAGATGATAAAAATCAGTCCTGGAGAGAGAAGATGGCTTGTCGAAGGATTCCATAAGTAGTAACCATCAAAGCCCATGTCCTCTGACTCCAAATTCATTTATTTATTTCCAAATCCTTCCTAGCACTGACATTCTATGTTCTAATTTCCCTCCCAGACCTGATGTTATAAAGTCCCTTTTAGTAGCACATTTTGAGAAGTTTGTGATCCTTGCCGTGGGTTGGGTGCTAATCAAAGGCTAACGAGCCACATTCAAGGTGACAAAAAACATGGTACCACGTTACCTGGAGGAAGGATTTTGCGGCCTTTCGACACAACTCATAATACTCGATATAGGTCATGGTGTCCCATCCATCCACATTTCTTGTCCCCAGAGCAATTAAGTCAGGATACCTCGTGGCAGTTCCAAGCACCAGCTCATGAATCGTTAACGGAGCCTGATTCCCTTCGCCTTTCTTGTTCTTCCTCAGGATAACTTCTCCGGTCAGCTGAGAAGTGAAGAAACCGATGGTCTCTGTGAATGGAGTCAGCAGGTTGAGGCATGGCATGGCATGGTGGTTTGGTTGCTGAACTTGGAGTCAGAAACACCTGGGTTTGAATCACATCTCTGGCTCCTACTAATTGTGTGACCTCTCTGAGCCTCAGAGTCACAATATCTGAACAGCATTTAACTTACAGGGTGGTTGTAAGGCTCAAAAGAGATAATAAATGTAAAGTACAATGTCTGCTTAAAGTATTTTAAAGTACCCTATACATGCTAGCCATGAGGTGTGGGGTCTCACTCACCATCTCCTGGAACTCTTGTCCTCAGTCAAGTTTGATCTGGCCCAGATCTCAATCCCAGCTTGGGCCTGGGCTCCTCTGACCCCCTACATTAGCTAGAATGGGGTCATAATATTCAGAGCTGGGGAGAGGTGAGGACAGAAAAGGAAAGGGATGGTGGAGGGGAGGAGAGCATAAAGTAGAATGACTTTCCTTTCAATTTTCCAAACTAAAATACCTCTCCCTGGCCACTAGTACCCCACATGTGTCATCTCCTCCTACTAGAAGACAAGCAGGGATTACCGCTTGCTTTCTTATTTGCATCCTCAGAGCTCCACAGATATCAAGTGTTTAAAAAGTTATTTTTCAGCCATTTGTGGAAGAGTATTCTTTATCCAGAAAGACTATACAATAAAGAAAAGACTTGGTGGGAGCATCATCATATACTCAGGAGAAGATATACTTAATGCATATAGTGGAAAATATATGAGTAAGGGTCAGTGGAAGGGAAAAACAGAAGTAATATTATTAAGGGAATGTGCTACAGACCACCTGGGCAGAAAGAAGCAAATGAGGAAACATGTCACAAGCCTAGCACAGCGTTGATGTAATAAGTGATAGGTGACTACAAATATCTCTACGAAAGCTATAAGCAGGAACAAGGACTGAGAATTTCACTTTCAGAAAGTGTAAAAAGTAGGGTGAATCTTACAGTGACTTGAAAATCACAGGCAATTTTTGTATTTCTGCCACAAACAAGGGACCCCATATCATATTCAAAGGCTAGGTTTGGCTTCCTCCTAAAGGAGATGGTACAGGGGCATGACAAACATGAAGAGTTCAGAGAAATAGAGGGAAACTTGTAGGAACTGATGGCAGAGAGGAGAATGCAGAACCAGAACGAGCACATTGCCTACAGTAATTTAAATGAGAACAACGCTAAAAGTCAGCTGAATTCGGATTAAAGGCAATGACTAATATTAGTTGTAGAGGACAGATGAATTACACCTCCTCCTTTTTGGTAGAAAGGCAGGGGGCTACGGATACAGAATGTTGCATATGCTGTCAGATGCAGTTGCTATGTCAGTTGGTTTTGCTTAACTGTTTTTCTTTGAGACAAGAGAGGGTTACATAAGGTTACTAGGAAATGTCTGTGATGTTAAAAAAAAACAGCTCCAGGTAAACTTCTAAAAATTAAATGAATTGGGGTGGTGGGGCTAAAACATGCATACAGGTCCCCTTCCAAAGTAGTGGTCAGGGAGAGGATAACTATTTATTTCTTTCTTCTCCTATAGGAATATTTATCAACGGTTGAGCGAGTGAATCCAGCCCATAACTTAAGCAAGATTCCCTCCCTTTTTCTCCCCCTTTCTCTCATTCTCCTGTAAGCTCTCTTTTTCCCAGGAGACTACAGAAGTTACTTTCCCTTTGCCGTTAGCCATTGACTTGATTAGGGCACACATCTCATATTTCCCTCTATATTCATCCTCCCTTTACCCCTTTATTCACCTTCACATTCTGTAATTTAGTCCCACAAAACCATTGGTCCACCCTTAGGCAAGGTGTTGCAGGCTTTAGTCCACCATATTTCAAGCCCATTTCTCTCCGGTATCACTTTGATTTGAGCCCGGCTTTCCTTCCTGTCTCCTCATTGAGAAAAAAAATCTCTTAATGATCTGTCTGATGCTATTTTGTTGTTGTTGGCTGCTATATTTGTTCACCCTTCTTGTATTTCTATTGTCTGTAGTGTTTGAGAAGTAAATAATTTCTTTCTTTTTTTTTAAAGCCTTTTTTCTGCAAGGAATTTTTTTTTATTAATTTATTTTGATTTATCAACAATCACTTCCATAAGCTTTTGAGTTTAAAATTTTTCTCCCCACTCTCTCCACCTCCCTCCCCAAGACAGTGCGCAATCTGATATAGGCTATACATATACATTCCTATTAAACATATTTTCACATTAGTGATATTGTAAGGAAGAATTAGAACCAATAGGAGGAACCACAAGAAAGAGAAAACAAAACAAAACAGAAGAAAAAATAGCAAATAGTATGCTTCGATCTGCATTCAAACTCTTTCTTTGGATGTGGATAGCATTTTCCATCATGAGACCTTTGGAGATGTCTTAGATCCTTGCATTGTTGAGAAGGGTTAAGTCTATCAACTTTAGTCATCGCACAATGTGGCTGTTACTGTGTACAATGTTCTCTTGGTTCTGCTTACTTCATTCAGCATCAGTCCATACAAGTCTTTCCAGGTTTTTCTGAAGTCTGCCTGCTCATCATTTTTTTAAATTTTTTTATTTTTTTTAGCTTTTTGGTGAGACAGTTGGGGTTAAGTGACTTGCCCAGGGTCACACAGCCAGTGAGTATTATGTGTCTGAGGCCAGATTTAGACTCAGGCCCTCCTGACTCCAGGGCTGGAGCTCTATCCACTGTGCCACCCCCTGCTCATCATTTCTTATAGCACAATTGTATTCCATTACATTCATATACCACAACTTACTCAGCCATTCCCCAATTGATGGGCATCCCCTCAATTTCCAATTTTTGGCCACCATTAAAAGAGCTGCTATAAATATTTTTGTACATGTGGGTCCTTTTCCCATTTGTATGATCTCTTTGGGATACAGTCCTAGAAATGTTATTGCTGGGTCAAAGGGTATGCACATTTTTATAGCCCTTTGGGCATAGTTCCAAATTGTTCTCCAAAATGGTTGGATCATTTCACAACTCTACCAACAATGCATTAGTGTTCCAATTTTCCCACATCTTCTCCAACATTTATCATTTTCCTTTTTTGTCATGTTGGCCAATCTGATAGGTGTGATGTGGTACCTCAGAGTTGTTTTGATTTGCATTTCTCTAATCCATAGTGATTTAGAGCATTTTTTCATATGACTATAGATGGCTTTAATTTCTTCATCTGAGAACTGACTGTTCATATCCTTTGACCATTTATCAATTGGGAAATGACTTGTATTCTTATGAATTTGACTTAATTCTCTATATATTTTAGACATGAGGCCCTTATCAGAGACACTGGTTGTAAAAATTCTTTCCCAGTTTTCTACTTTCCTTCTAATCTTGGTTGCATTGGCTTTGTTTGTGCAAAAACTTTTCAATTTAATGTAATTAAAATTATCCATTTTGCCTTTCATAATGTTCTCTATCTCCTGTTTGGTCATGAATTCTTCTGTTCTCCATAAATCTGATAGATGAACTATTCCTTGATCTCCCAGTTTGCTTATAGTATCAGCTAAATAATTTCTTCAGGTCTAATTTTCTTTCTAGGAATGGTCTGAACGCCTCTTTTTTTTTCTTTTTTTTTTTTTTAACTGACCGTCCATTTTTTTTTTTCATTTATATCCGGACTCAGATTTGTAAGGTCCATCACACTGGGTTACATCTTGAGCTTTGGAACACATTATTCTATTTCTTCCTGTGTTTTCTGGTGGGTGCATAATAGTCTCGTTTTATTCAAATTTCCTTTCCTTCATATTTGATGGTCTTTCTCCTTATCACGTTCTTTCTCAATGGAACCACTATATGTCTTGGAGTTTGCAAATATAAGTATTTTTGTTTTTGTTTTCTTTTCTAGAGATTATTGATGGATTTTTTTCAATTAGGACTTTGTTTTCTGTGATTAAACATTCTAAGCAATTATTTTGTATTATTTCTTGCTTTTTTTTTAACTTACTGTGTTCTTCTGGGTGACTTGTAATCCTTAAATTTCTTGGGCTTGATATCAGTATGTTTTGCTCCATGAAGATTATATTTTCTGTTAATGTTACTGCTTTTTGCTTTTTTTTCTTCCAAATTGTCCTTCCCTTCCATGTATTTACATCCTCAGTCAGTTATCCTCTCTATTGTTTCTTCGGTGAGACCCATCACCATGTATTCATGTTTTATTATTTTTTTTTTGCCAATTATTTCTCTTTAGGGGTTAGGGATTATTAACCTCTGTTGTTAATTCATTGAGTTTTTGCCTTGTTTGGGTTCTTGGTGTACTAAACTGTGGAGAAAGCCGAAATTTCTTTATCTATGATATATAATTAATATTTTAGAGAAGTTTGAGAAGTAGTGAGGATCAGAGAAAATGCCTAGTCCTCCATGGTTCTTGAGTCCTGTCAGTTGAAGGAGCATCCTGGCAATGGTACTTTTCTCCTCTGTGAAGCATTTATGGAAACCACCTCTTCCCTAGGCAAACACCCGGATCACTCAAACTCAAACAGAAGCCAAAAAGGCTGGAGCCATCCACCTCTCTGGATTGCTGTTTAGCCACCTATGGTTAGGGAAAGGAACACAGGGCAGAAGAGGCAGCTGCGGACTTGGGGGTCTGGTCTCAGACTCACCTGAATACGTGAATGCTCTTGATACCATGTGCTTATAACTGTCATGGCTGTTGGGGGTGGAGAAGAGAGAGAAATCTGCTGGACGTCCTTGCTGAATGTCCAAGGGCAAGCTAACATTAGCTGGACTCAACAAAAAAACGACCTCAAAAATGCCCCTCCTTATCTAGCCCTCATCACCTCTTGCCTGGAGTAGTTCAATGGCCTCCTGGTTGGTCTTCTTGCCTCAGGTCACTTCTCCAATTTACTTTCCATACAAGCTGCTAAAATAGTGTTCCCATAGCACCTATAGGTATAACCATATCATTCCCTCACTCAGTGAACTCCGGTGGCTCCCTATCACCTCTAGGAGCAAATACAGACTCTTCCGCTTGTCATTTAAAGCTCTTCACAACCTGGCT